TACAATCGAACTGAACGTCTCAAAAATGCGAACCCAACAGCACCACATTCCACTCAATCCGAACCAAAATGACTCCAAATCAAAGACTCAAAGCATATTTGAAAGGTTTAAACCATAATTTGGATTACCAAATGGTTTTCAAACATGACATACTTATAGTCGAATTGAGCGGCTAGACGAGACAAATCCAACGAGCCTAAGATCGCCAAATTCTAATATATCTAAGACATTTAAATGTCCAATAAAGAGCACAAAAAAGAGATTTAAAATCGACCATCCATTCAAATCACTACCAATTTAATTTTCTATTCACTTATATTTTTTTTCTTGGTTGATATTAGCTTAATCCTGTATTGATTCGATCTTAAAGAGATTTTATGATTTATTTTTGTGCAATGAAATTTTTAATATCACGTATTTAATTAATATATTGAACTCATCCTAACAGTAATCAAATGATTTGATGATTGGAAGTCATTTTTGAAGGAAAAAATAAACTAATTCACTATCAAAGTTTTATCATTTTAAAAACGGACTATTTTGATCTCAAGTCTGGATGTAAAAAAGTTGAAGAAAAATTAAAAATAATAATAATTTAGACCCCCCTAAATACATTTTCTGGCTCTGCCACTGAACAAACCCTAAGATATGCACTTTAATTTTCAAAATAAATCACACAATCTTCTTCCAATAAACATGATTTGAACTACAAATTTAAAAACTGGCATACTATTCATATATTACAAATGAGACTTGAATAGGAAATGCCCAAACAACAGCTCAAAGAACAATGAGAATCCAAATAACAACTAGCCCAGTTCAAAATCTCTTCCCAATTTGTTCTAAATAACAAGTTAAAAATAAAAAAATAATAATAAATGCCGTAATATTCCTTTCTCTTTATCCAAAGAGGCCGAGAGACAAAAGAAAGCATTGTAACCTCAGCTTTATCAAGAAGATTAAGCCCAAAAGACGAACAAAAAACAGCTGCAAGCAAAAAGAATCACAAATGGAGTGTTAAAAGAGCACACCAATAACACTGTAGATTTGGTACTCATAGCAAGCCAGCCTCAATGAGATTTCTCCTCCTCAAGGTCTCATCAACTAGCTTGAAGGTTTTCTTTACGAGCTTCTGATCCAAGGCAGTTGTCCTGTAGATCTTGAACATTCGATCGACTCGATCCGGTTTCGTGCTCTGGAAGTAGAGTTCCTCAAATTTCTTCTTAACAAACCTAAGGAGAAGGATGAGAGCGCCTATAGGAAACCAGAACTCAGATTAAAAAGTCCTCACCAAATGAGGGCGAAATCTCTGGGTAGTGTCTTATCTAAAACTCAATCTGCCTTCTGAAAATTCCCCTGGGATCACACATCCTAAAAAATGGAATTTTTCGGAGCCCACATTACCGAATCGAGCTCGAGCCAGCTTGCGAGCCGGCTTGATTCGATTGCACCCCTAGGGGTGGCTGCAGTTTCTGTAAAATCTGCAGCCATTTTTTTGTGTGAAAAACTCAAACTATAACCTCCGTACGGCCACTACACCATCAGATTAAGTTGAAGTAAAATAGAGCTATCAACTTTCTAAAAAGCAAATAAATAAAAAAGCTGGCCTAAACAGACCGTGAAATAGCTGCTTTAATCAAGTATATGTGATAACTAACGTGATAGCAACCCAGCTTTCTAATGCAAAAATCTGGACCAAGGAATGAGTTGTTACAAATATTTGCTAATAAGCAGAAGTGCACATACTCATATGCGTGTTCAACCTCCTGCTTCCCTGATGTCATAGGATGATAATCTTTAAACCACTCACAAACATTTAAGGGGACCTGTTTGAAGACATCGAATCATATTAGAAACTTGTACAGAAGCATTTGAACGATTTATGACTATTGGTGGTATACTCACTTTTTGCACCTTTCTTTCAAATATATCAAATTTGTTTAGGAACAACATGAATGATGTTTTCTGCTAGAAACAAACAGGAAAGGGTTAAGGGTTAAATAACAGAAGAATATGAAAGCAGATCTGAGGAAGCCATGACTAAACCTCAAAACAAGCTTGCTTGAGAACCCAGTCAAAAAGCTCTTTTGTCTCCATCATCCTATTCTTTGTTTCATCCTCATAAAGTGTCTGATCATACCTGAAAGGACAGAAATAATGCCACGCAACTGAATAAATAGATGAAGCAAAAATTAATGTGTAAGAGTAAAGATAATGCATTTCATACAAATTTTAGTAAATTTAAAATAACTCTTAAGATAAAAACATAAATCTATAAACTTCCTATCTATGTATGTTATTTAGCTTAGATATCAACCAGAAAGAAAAAACTGTAGAACTTTTGAACTTTATATTATGCACAAAATGAATCACAGAAACAATCATAAGACACAGACATTGGGGAAAACATAGGGTATGATCCCTATATTCCACTTAAGTGACCACATTTTATCATTCGCATTTTTCCTTCTAATGATATTTATCCATCAAGCTCCACAAAATGAAAATCCAGCATAACAGAACCTTCAACATTACTTGCCATTGAAACAGTCTGAACATTAAACTTTAATTAATTTCAATGAACATCTGGTTGCTCATCAGGTACACTTACAATTTTCATCAATGAATACCTATAAATTGCGATTAAGATTCTTTACTTTGCTCAAATAAAATGAAATCATTCAAACTAAACCTCAATTATGGTAACTTATTTGATTTTAACGAAATACTCATGAGCAAGGAGGCAACAGTATTGCAGAAATTCATAGTCAAAAAGAAAATTAAAATAGAAATTCCTTGAAATCAAATTTACTTTCGCAAGTCATATCATTTATTAAAACTAATTGAAAAAAAATGTCTGCTCATATTGCTCTTAAGTTCCCTCTTAAATTAAAATATTCCTCTTAAGTTCCCATCAACAATTTATATCTATAAATTTAAATACTTATACATCTATATTCAATATACGATACATAAAATCAAAATAAGAAAGAAAATCACTTCTGTTTCAAGGGAAGAGAACTTACTCAAATTGTTGGTTTTAAATTTTTCAAATTTAAAATTAGGTATTGAGATGGAGAGAGGATCATAACAAAAAGATTACAAAATTTCTCATTTCCAAACTTCTAAGTGAGAAATCAATTCTTTAAGAAAAGCTTTAGTTCAAATAAATTTTTTACTCCACGTAGTGGGACAAAGGCTTGATGTTGTTGTTGTGTTGTTGTTGTATGCAGTTAAAGAGTTTAATTTTGAAATGAAACTTTCTACATTTTTATTTTATTTTTTGTGTAAATTTTTTGTCTTTAAATGAGGAGAAATGGAAAAAAGAAAACTTTTGCTTCTAAATACCACAAAGGTGCAGCAAGCCCAGTTTAAATAAGCAAGTCTCAGCACCAAATTTATATATATAAACTCGAATGAGTTTCTATTCAAGTTGAAAGTGATCATTGCCAATCTGATTTTTAATATCATTAGAGTTGAGAATCTTCATTGTAAAAATATTTTCTTAACCTACACGGTTGATAAAGACCGCCACATCTTGATGAATTGTTATGTATGGTTTGCAGTTATGAGAAACATTATTTCTCTCTATGTGTGATGTTTCATAATATCATCTTCCTTTGAACCCAACAAAGCCCCTAGCTAACGTGGCATGTACAATTTTCTTATTTAAGATGAATCGTGGCAATGTAAAATAAAAAATCTATTTAAAATGTAGCAAATTATCATGAATGAGGTTATGAGAAGTTGGCCACAATAAATCTGAAAAATATTGTCCTCTTTTTGCATCCACACATCACGTGGATTGCTATTTCTATAAATAAATGAGAATAAATCTGCTAGAAATGGAACTTGCATCCACACATTCTCCTTGTCAAAATTTTTTTAAATTATAACTGAAATTTGGAATATAAGTTTTCTTAAAGACAAATTAATGAAATTAATAGAAGATAAATATTTTATGTATCAAGAAACTAAATGGGTAGGAGAAAAACCTAAAGAAATTGATAGTTTAGAATTTAAACTATGATATTTACGAAGGAGTCATACTAGAAATGATGTATGTGTAATTATAGATAAGAGGTTGAAGGTAAAAGTTGTAAGAAATAATAGAATTAGAGATATAATAATAGCTTTTAAATGAGAATTTGACTCTTAATAGGACGCAATGGAGAAAAAGAATTCATGTAACCGACCCCACGTAGAGGGATAAAAGTTTGATGTTGTTTTTGTTGTATCTTTAAGCTCCTAAAGATATCATTAAGACCATTGACTTTCCTCTTGACTAACAAAATTAAGCATAGATTTTTTTTTTATCAGACTTGATCAAACATGTCTATTATTTTCATTAAAGGACAGCCTCATAATAAAATACTTAATTTCATATTTTAAATAAAAAATATCATGCAAAATGAATTATTTTACGTACAATCATAACTATGCAATTGCAATATAAAATGACTAATTTTTTTATATCACTACAAAAATGCAATATTTTACTATTATTGAGTGCACACCTTTTATCATATCCACATGATTGATAACTTCACAATTAAATGTTATAAATTTCCATTTTAATATATTTCTCATATAGTAAATCAAAACTAATAATGCAGACTTCCTTTTAAACTCACTATGATAATCAGGTTTGGGTTGACCCAATTATTATTAGGTTGAGTTTAAGTTGTGACCCGAAAATTGATATCGACTTGGAATTGACCGGATCATCATTCAAGTTTGGGTTAAACGTATCAGGAATGGGTTAACTGGCTCATATTTGGGTTAAGCATGTCATACGTATCTTAGAAAAATTACACGATCTATATAATAAATGGGTCCAACTGGTCGAGGTTTAAGTCGGGCGAGTTTGGGTCAAATATTTTGACTTGTATGATAAATGAGTCGGGTTCAGATTAAGCAACTTAGAGTCAGTTCCAACTTAGAATCAGACCTGCACCCGAACCACCAACACATTGAAACCCCTAATGTTTTCTTTTAAAAGATGGAAAGATTAAATAGAAAAGAAACAACAAGAATAAGGAAGCAAGAAGTTATGAAAATGACAAAACAGTGTAAGATAAGACATATCTATAGCTTTTGATGATGTGAATATTATGCCAAGTATCTGGAAAAAAAAACAGAAAATTGAGATATACCTACATAGCAAACATTATGCCATAATGTTCGAAGAAGATTCTAATTTGAAAATTTCTACATCCACATACAATCAGAGAGCGTCATTTTAAAATGCTGGCCCTCTTAGAATTTTTTAAATGTTTTATTTTATTAATAAAAAATATTTTTTTAATTTAAATTCTCATGAAATAACCTCAAAATCATATCTATCAATGATTCAAATCCAACTAATAGTTTAATATACAACCTTATATTATGAAAAATATATGTAAACTCATTATATTAGTTTATTTATATTGTGTTGATCAGATCTCCTACATTTGTTATTGCGCATTTGATTAAATAATTTAACTGTTACATTCATAGCTTTCACTTCTAGTTTTAATGAGTTTGAATTGATAAATTTCTCAAAAGTTCAAAGTCCTAATGTAACTGTTACATTCATAGCTTTCACTTCTAGTTTTAATGAGTTTGAATTGATAAATTTCTCAAAAGTTCAAAGTCCTTTCACTGAACACCCAATTCATCTCTCCCCTCACCCCAAGCTCTGTGTGGTCTAGTCTAACAAAAGAAATATTTTTTTTATCTTAATTATTAAAAGACTTAAATTAATCTATAATATATAGGCATATATATTATTAAATCAGAATGAGACCAAAAAACTTTCCTCCAATACTTCAAAATAAAAGATATCCATTTAAAAAGCTCTCAAATTTTCTAAACTTAGCTATTCTTTTAATGAGCAGAAAAGGCATTTCTTATTTAAAAAGGTACAAGAAGATAACCCCATGCAATACATGAGCTCTTAAAAGAACATATTATTGTAATATTTTAAGGATTAAATGTTATATAACAATTTAAAAATAATTATTTTGTTCTCATATCCATGTACATATTATTAAAACGCAATGAGAGAAAATTTTCTCTCAAACATCAAAACAATTAGATAGCTCCATTTAAGAAAAAAAAGCTCTCTCAAACTTTTTAAGCTTTTGGATTCTTTTAGAATATTACTATCACTTTTATTATATTTTTAAAGATTAGAAGCAGTAAAATAATATAATTTTTAAATTTATTTATTCTCTAATTTATTACATATCGCTACATTATTATTATGAAATAAATGATAATAATACATAATATAATTCAAAAGAATAAAATAGATAAATTATTATATGAATGTGATGATTGGAATTTTAGTTTATTACATGGTTTTAACCATGACTTACAACTTCATTACATTAAAATTCTAAGTATTCAGGCCATACAGCGCGCCGCTTCCAGGGGACGCCCTAGCATTAACACAATTTCTTAAAGGATTCATGTCATTTTTGTTCGACAAGTTTTACGCTGGCTGTCGACTACCTAACGCAACCCTCCACTTTTCTCATCCAGGACTTGGGACCTGGCAACGGCAGTGTTAAAATACATAATTTCATATTTTAAATAAAAAAATATCATGCAAAATGAATTATTTTACTTACAATCATAACTATGCAATTGCAATATAAAATGACTAATTTTAAAATATCACTACAAAAATGCAATATTTTACTATTATTGAGTGCACACCATTTATCATATCCACATGATTGATAACTTCACAATTAAAGGTCATAAATTTCCATCAATAAATTAAGCATAAAAAAAAATTATAAGACTTGATCAAACATGCCTATTATTTTCATTAAAGGACAACCTCATAATAAAATACATAATTTCATATTTTAAATAAAAAATATCATGCAAAATGAATTATTTTCCGTACAATCATAACCATTCAATTACAATATATAATGACTAATTTTAAAATATCACTACAAAAATGCAATGTTTTACTATTATTGAGTGCACACCTTTTATCATATCCACATGATTGATAACTTCACAATTAAAGGTCATAAATTTCCATTTTAATATGTCTCATATAGTAAATCAAAACTAATAATGCAAACTTCCTTTTAAACTCACTATGATAATCGGGTTTGGGTTGACCCAATTATT